GGGGGGGCCCCGCGGGGGCGGGGCGGGGGGGGGGGGGGGGGGGGAAGGATGCCAGGAAAGCCCCTCTTCTCCCCATCGCCCCGAGGAGTACATAAATGTCTACAATTTCCAAGACAAAGCATCTCGCAGACTTCCCCGGAATATTTTACCTGTCCCCTTTTCAATCTAATTATTTAACCGTGAGTTATGTGTAGAAAGCGCTTCTTCTGCCCATTGTATTTTTTACCAAGTTTTCTTACGTTTTTACGACAAACATTCATTTTGGCTTCGAGGAAGTATTTGGTAGCAACACTTTAATGATTACCTTAAATTTGTATTTCTGCCCGGTATTATGCCCCATGTTGTAGCGGAAATAATTCTGATTTATGACAAAGTACACTGGAGTACAATAACAGCGATGCAAAAATAAAACCCACGCCTTTATATGTTGGCTTAGAAACTGTAAACTATCGCCACAAGAAATCTATCAAACTTTACAATCCCTCTTACCCTGCTTCCTTCTTTCCGAGTAACTTAAGTCAAAGAATTATGGAATGATATTATGTTCCTTGAGGTGGTATTGAAAACTGTGTTCAGGCTTTTCTACCCCCAACATAGCACCCATGGACTGGCTGGAGTTTGGACGCTTTCCTTTTCCCTTTGATCACGAAGGCGAAATTTGGAAAGTGTAATTCATATATAAGCAAGAGCAGGCAGGGTGACGGGGCACAACGATGTGACACGGGGATTTTGGAGGAGTTTATTCAGTGCTGAAATGTTTCCTTTAATTTTCCAGCCGCGTTAACAAACTTAAATATTGCCCCCATCCCGCAATGTTGTCTTTAGGGGGTCTTGACCACTACATTTCCTCATTCATTTGCAGTATCCGTACATTCATATTCCTAACAATTCGTCTTTGCCAGCATGGGGGTTGACCAAGCCCATTACAACACAGTAAAATACATGAGCAAAGGCCACCCTCTTCTGTTTGTAAGTGCTGTGTGGTTGGCAGGCTTTTAATAACAAATGCATGCTCTCCTGCTGGCTTTTATGTGTCTTCATTGTACCTACTTCATACCTACACCAGAAAGCAGCTGGCACTGTTATTCTGCTTTGCTGTGCTCTCCTGCTTGTCTCTTATCCATGTTAGATTATTTTTCAGGTCTGCATAATTTCACAAGATGTTTAACACACGCCTCCTGCACACGTGCTCTAGGTGCCAGAACTGTTTCTTTCCCACCACAGCACTGTCTGTCTGCAACTCATTTAACATCTTCGGTGCAATGCCATGGAGAGAAACTTAATGCTGGTAATGCATTACTTATTTTTGCAGTGGAGTACCTTCAATTAAAGCAGAGCCAGAACATGGCTGAAAAAAAAAAAAAAAAAAAAAAAAAAAAAAAAAAAAAATTTTTTTTTGGGGGGGGCGGGAAAAAATCCGA